GGGCTCTGTTCCTACAACAGCTAGTCTTTGAGGAATGCAGGGATTTGCACGCATTCATTTGCATTCATTGACAAAAAAAAATGGGGTCCTTTGGGAATAAGATCAAAGCAAGTCACAAAAAAACATTTGGCTTTGCAACAAAGTGGGTCTGACAACCTAGGCCTGACTGTTGTGGCCCCAGCCCTCACCTTGGTCAGGGTGTATGTCCCCAGCAGGTTCAGCTCCAGCAGCTGCCGGAAGCCCTGGGCAGAGGTCTCCTCGGGCCACTGCGGAGGTGGATCTAAGGGTGAGGGTGGGAGAGAGCAGAGATGAGGATGAGGGAGCCCTGAAGACAAGAAAACAGGGAAGGGAAATAGGCGTGGGGTTGGGGGTGGGCATAGGATGGTGGGTGACAAACAAGAGGGTCAGGGATCCTGAAAAGATCAGGAGGTTGTATGGTAGTCTCTCAAACAGGAGTCTCACAATTGGATTAAGACGATGTGGTTTGCTGAGGGAAGGTAATAAATAGCTCAGGGGTAGAGCGCATGCTTAGCATGCACGAGGTTCTAGGTTCAATCCCCAATACCTCCATCAAACAAATAAACAAACAAACCTAATTACCCCCCCACCACCAAAAAATACAGAATGAGAATAACACTTTGTTCTTGGGCTTAGAAATTTTACAAGTCAATATTCGTGCCAGACGCTTTGCACTATAATGTGCTGGTTATCTAATAAACAGTAGGAGGTGGGAGGATGGCAGGACAGAAAAATCCACATTCAGAAGGAAAGAAGCTGGAAAGGTAGGAGTGAGAACAGGAGAAAAGACAGACTATGGAAAAAAATAGATCCTGAACCTTCCAAAGGCTTTAGGAGTTAAGTGGATAAGGGGACAGAGAGGTGGGAAACAAGATGATGGAAAGTTAAAGAAATATTGGGTTATTTCTCCCCTAGACACCCAGAGTTTGTGGCCTTGCTTCCTTCAGGGAACAAAATAGACCAAACAGCTTCAGAGAATCCACCTGGGATCCTCGTCCAAAACAGCCCCTGTCATTCTCTGAGCCCTCAGTCAGCTTAATTTTTCATCATAGCCTTTATCACTACTGGACATGCCAATGTATTCAATTGACTCTCGTCATTTAAGGCAGCCATAGTCTATAAAGTTGCAGTGGACACTGAATTGGTGAATACTGACCCATTGCTCCTAGGGAAAATATGTGCATAGAATATACATAATAATATATACATGTGGACTGAATGTTTGTGTCACTCACCAAAACTCCTACGTTGAAATCCTAACCTCTAATGTGATGGTGTTCCAAAGTAGGGGTCTGTGGGAGTTGATTAGGGCATGAGGATGGAGCCCTCTTGAATGGGATTCGTGCCCTCATTAAAGAGACTCCAGAGAGGTCCCTTGCCCCTTCCACCATGTGAGGCCCCAGCAAGAAGCATGCCTACAGCAGACACTGCATCTGCCTCCACCTTGATCTGAGACCTCCCAGCCTCCATTACTGTGAGAAATAAATGTTCATGGTCTAAGCCACCACAGTCTTTGGTATTTCTGTTAAAGCAGTGTCAATAGATAAGACAGGACATATATGTGTCAGTCCATATGTACATATGTTTATGTATATAGCTGTGTGGCAATCTAACATGGATTATAATCTTTAATCCTAAAAACAACCCATACTGGTAAACTCTATTTTATTTATTTTGCAAAGGAGGTTCAGGAGTTTGAAGTGACTTGCCTGAGGCAGTCTTACTCACGGCTGCCAGAGCTGGGATTCAAACTCACCCAGCTGGACAGACAGCGAGCTCCTTACCTGCCCTATCTGGTCTCCCTCCTCTGGGCATCTCTTTGAGAACTGAACCCAGAGGGCAGAACATCACCGTGTTTGACATTGGCTGGAAAAATTGCTGTGGGCATCTCACATGTTTGCCTCTCCGCGCATGTCCGGGAATACCAGGAAAGCACAGTGAGGACTGATTCTGAGGTTACAAGACACCCCCTCCCCTGCCCCTCATGCAGCAGGTGAATTTGAGAATATGGAATCTGCAAATAATGAGGATTAGCCCTATCTGTCTTGGGGGTAAAGAGGGTGGGAAGGGGTAAATTGGGAATTCAAAAATTGTACATTTTGGGGTGTGATGGAAATGTTAGCTCTCTTAATTGTGGTAGTGGTTTCACTGATGTGTACACCTATCAAAATCCATCAAATTGTACATTTGACATAAGTGTAGTTTACTGTACAACAACCATATGACAATAAATGTGTTTTAAAAAGGCACTGCTACAAACTATTTGAATACTTGAGTATTTATAAATAAATTATTTAAATAATTGAATAATCATAAATAAATCTAGATATTCAATCCAAAAAAAATAAAAGTAAAAAAATAAAAATCAAGATTAAAAAAAGCATTCATCTTTTCTTGTCTATTTCCCTACTCTAGAATGTGAATCCTATGTGGACAGGAATATCTGGTCTATTTTGTTCACTGCTAAATCCGCAGTTCTTAGGACAGAATATGGGGCATAGCACATGCTCAATAAATATCTTTTGAATGGCTTAAGGACACAGAGAGAAAGGCTGAGCTAGTATCTGTTGCCTCTTTAAATTCTTACAAGAGAAGGAAAGTGCAGCTCAGAGAGGGTAAGTCAATTGCTCAAAGTTGCCCAGCCGGAAAGAGAGGCTTCTTTCTACCATGGCCTTGCTGCGTGACCTTCGTCCAATCAGTTCACCTCTCTGAGCCTTGGTTTACCAACGTGAGGCGTTCTTATGCAGGGCAGTCATCACGCTGATGGCAAGTTCCCTTCAAAGCCTCTACATCAAGCCCAATAAACCATGAGCTGAGAGTATGTCTTCTCAGGGGAAAAAATGAGAAGGGCCATCAGCCTCACTTTGTAGATAAGACATTGAGGCTACAGGGATGGAACAGAGTCAGAAATGGGGTGGGAAGCCACGAGGTCAGGCGACACCAGTGGAGAATGGCCCTTGGGCCTCACAACTTACGGTAGCCGGCGTTGTTGACTACACAATCCAGGTGGCCAAAACGGCGGACAGTCTCAGAAATGAGCATCTGAGGAGAAAGACTGTGAGTGAGCAGTGTTTGCACCCGGGCTCCCAAAAATAAGGCAAGGATGGGAAGCTAGATTCACAGCTGAGGGGACAGGAACCAGATGTGGGGGACCCCTCCCAGAATCACCAGGCATGGCAGGAGAAGAGGAGACTGGAAGTCAGGGGTGCCAGGGACCAGAGAGCTGGTGACATTCACATGGCAGTCATTACTCCAGAAACCCAGGGATCAGGTGAGAGTGAAGGGCAGATGTCAGAGATTCCACTAAAGGGAAGGGATAGAAACACTAAAGAAAGAGAAACTCTCTCACAGGAGAACTTCAGTGAAGAATTTATTGGTTCCACTCCATGCGACAAGTGTGACAAGCCTTGAAGGAGTGGGAGATAAAGGAGACTCTTCCCAGGAGACACAGGACCTGGCCAGCAGAGTTGGGGAAATTCTTGGGGAATTAAGGAAATAATATTGAGCTGAAACCTTTGGGATCAGTACAATGTAGCCAGGAGAAGAGGACAAGGTAGAGGGAACAGCAATGTGCAAAAGCCTGGAAGAGCACAAAGCTAAAGAGAGAGAGAGAAATTGAAGATGGGGTAGGGGGACTGTAGGAACAGAAAATACTCTCACCTTCACATCTTCCTCCTGAGTCACATCACAGAGGAGAAAGACAGTTCCAGGAAGCTCTTGCTCCAGAGCCTGACCCCTGGACTCTGCAGAAAGAGAAGGGCTGGGGTCTGAGGGAGGAGGGGGGCTGGGGCCTGGATCCTGGGTCTGAGGGAGGAGGGGCCTGGCAGCCTGGATTCCTTCTGGATCTAAAGGAGGGGCTGGGGGTAAGGAATGAGGGACCCTCACTCACCATCTTTGTCACAGATAACCACTTGGGCGCCGCTTTCCGCTGAGAATAGGAAGGGAACAGTTTATACCAAAGCAGAATTTGGCAAAAGCTTCTGCTGCCCTCTTGTGGCCACCTGGAGTAGGGACTGTCTCCCCCTTGCTCTCCTAGTGACCCCAAAGTCTCATGATGATCCCCCTAGGACAAAGGGCAGAAGCCTGGACACCTATTCTTCTTGGCTACTCCAGGTGCCTGCTGGGGTTCCCGAGCCCCCAACCCTGGTTTCAGAGTAAACCCTAAACCTGCAAGACCCGTTTTGTAGCTATAATTGAGACCTAGAGAAAGAGAGGCAATGGAGATTGGAATTGCGCCAAAATCTCAGGCCCCAGGCTACCACTCCCTATGCCTTCGTTAACTTTGCAAATTAGAGTTCGTAAGGTAAGAATCTACATTCCAGTACAGAAAATACTCCTTCCCACACCTACTAACCCCCCAGGGGTCCCTCTTCTCCCAGACTTCAATACTCAAAGCCAGCCAGACCCCACTCACCGAAGGCTCTAACGATCCCTGCTCCGATGCCGCGCCCGCCCCCTGTCACGACGACCACCTTCCCGGCACAGCGCGTTCCCGATGCCATTCCGCAGCAGACCGTCTCTCCCTCTGTCACTCCCTCCGGGCTTCTATCCACCTCCGAAGTCAGGTGAGGTAGTGGGATTGAACCGTAAATAGGGGCTGGATCCTGGAAGCCCGACCCTGAAGGGGCGTTGCCAGGAAAGCTAGCAGCTTGGAAGCTTGGCCCAGGCCCCTTCCTCTTTCAGACCCGGGAATCCAGGCCCCCAAATCCCTCCCCTCTCAAACTCTGGATTCCTGGCGGCTGGCCCCCTCTATCCTTGGACTCAAATGTCCAGGTCCCTAGTCCTCCCTTCCTTCAGACCCAGGAATTCGGGTCCCCAGCCCCCTCCTTCCTCAGACCCAGTAATCCAGATCCCGAGCTCCCTCCTTCCTCAGACTTACAAGCCTGGAGCCCCTGTCCCCTCTTCCTTGGGGACTCAGAACTCCACGACTCCAGCTCAACCCCTCAGAGACATCAGTGTCACAATCCCAAACAGACACAAAGTTATTGACTAAAGTTTCTAAATTTTAATTCAAATTTGGACAAGTGTTGGGAAAACCAAACTTTGGCCACAGAAACTACTTCCCTTCTAGGTCATGGGACCAGATCACTCCCGGAGGTGCGGGGAGGCGGTCCAGATCTCGGGGCGGTACCGTCAGGCCACGCCCTCACGCTCTGATTGGCTGTCGCGTTTGGGTGGGTCAGAAGCTGGACTGCAGCAGAGTGACTCGCAGAGGCCACGCCCCCTCGTCTTGGGTTAAGGCGGGAGGGGCGGCCCCGGAATCCCAGTTGGCCTCCCAGGAGGTGGGGCCTGCATCGCGCCCACCACCTCCCCGGGAGAACCTCGTGGAGCGGAAATCGGTCACTGGAGGAGATCTTGGGGGCGAGGACATCTGGAGCGTGGGGTCTGACGGAGGCGGCGGCGCAGGGGGAAGAGGGTCTTTTCGAGAGTCCACATTTCCACCTGGAAAGGATGAACGGGGAATGATAATGGCAAACTTTGGTACCCAGAAGGCCGGACCCCCAGACCTTTCCTCTCAGACTTAGGAGTCCGGGCTCCCAGTCCTCTCCTCCCGTAGACCCAGCAGTCCTGGACCCCGGTCTCCTCCTACTGGAATGTAGAACTCCCAAGTCCTGTCCAACTTTCTTCATCAAGACAAAGGATTCCCAGCAGTCTTCAGATCCCTCCCCACGAGAACCTAGGATCCCAGGCCTCCGACTCCCTGTTTCCTAAAAACCAAGAGCCCAACTTTCCAGCCCATTCTCACTTGTCATCATTCTGTGCCACTGTGACGCCTCAGTGGCCAGGGCTTGAGAGAGACTGAGAACTCGCTCGCGGTGACCTTCGGATGTCGGCAAATAAGGGATGGTGTTCCTCGGGCTAGAAAAAAGAAGATTTGAGGGGCTTGTATAATTAGCCTGTACAGTAAGGACCACAGTGCCGCGCATGTCCTTCTGGGAGTTGTAGTCCCTAACACGTGGCTATAAAGGATTTTAAATATAGCAAGACCCTCTTTTTAAAAGCCCGCGTGCATTATGGGATTTGTAGTCCAGTTGCCAGAAAACTACCCCCTATTTCCTAACATAGGGGTCAAGTTTGACATTCACCTAGGAACTGCAGTTCTCTCAGCGAACTACGGCTTTCTGATTCCCCAGGAACTCAAGCGTCTCTAAAAGGTTCTGTGATCTATACTTTAGTACTGGGGAGTACTCAGGAGACAATAGTAATGCTAGTCCTCTTCCCTTTGTTGATTTCCCTGCTCTTTGCCCCGCTCTCCAGTTCCTTACCTGCTCCAGGACCCGGAGCTTCTGAGCCATTTCTGGGCGACTGAGTGTCCCAGGACAGGCTACAAAGGAATTGGGGCATTAGAATTCCTCACGGAAGTCCTCATGTTCTCATTTTGAGGGTGAAGTGAAGGGGGCGCAGAGAGGGGACAGAATTGCCCCAAAGACACTGCCAATTTTTAACTTTACCTGAGTTCCTGGAAAACAGGGAGAGTTAGGAAAATCAGCCCCCTGCCCCAAACACACACACACACTCTTGTGTTCTGGGAAGCATGCTTAGTGCAAAGAACCCTTCTTCTCCGTATGACTTCAGATAAGATTGATGAAATTTCTATTTTAACACAGGACAAGAAAAATTAAACATAGAATTCCCTCTGTGTGTTTGTTTGGGCCTCCTCCCTCCTTCCATAATTAGCAGTGTGCATCTGTGTTACACATTAACCAGAGCTCCTCAGAGATGAGAGTGATTGGTTCATAGTAAAGAGCAATCCCCCCTCCCTCCCCATCTTCCGGTGCTTAGCAATGTAACTTCTTAAATGAATAACATCCGTTCCCATCTCCATAGGGGATCACAGAGACTTGCAGCTGGCTTTGTACATGCTTACTCAGACTATGCATCCCTGATGAGTTTTACGTAAAATACGAATACATCATATTGATGTACTATCCTCTGTCTCGAAAATGTATATGAGCGTGCCTTTGACTTCTAACAGGCAGAACAGTTCTCAGAGTTTTCTGAGTCAGTCACCTGGTTTACAAGCCTCCATTTGAAAATTCTTTTTTCTTCCTGATTTTAATTGAATTTTCGTTGACAAGACTCACAGATGACACCCCACCATTGTTTACCTATGACAAGGGAGAATCAGATCTTCTGAATTCACATCCCTTTGCCATAAATGATTAGCTGAACTCCTTGTCCTGTCAAAACTAGCTAGACGTAGAGATAAACATTTGGTGTTCCCCTGACTGAGATGCCTCCTGCTTACAAAAACAATCCCAACTGTAAAATCACCCCACCTATGACTGATCTAATTCCTCCCTAGAAAAGTCTAAGGTGAAACCATCCTGCTCAGACATTCTGACCTTTGGATCTGACGTGTGTTCCTCATTGCAACAGTGTGAATAAAATTGATTTCTTTACTTGCTCAATTTTTTTTTCTTTTTTTGCCTTTGACAACAGATAGTAACTGAAAAAGAAAACTGGGCTTCCAACCCAGACCCATGACCCTCCCCTCTAGGAGGGAGAATGCTGGTGAGGTGGAGATGTAGTCTCTGGCCCACCCCACCCCATCCCACCCTGTCCTCCCCCCATTAAGGGAGCCAGGATGCTGACTTCAGCACAGGTACAGGGCAGGCAAATCTGGAAATCTATTCTGGGTAAGGAGGTAGGAAACAGCCCCACTTTACAGAGAGACAAACTGAGGCTCCAAGGGGGAACAGAGGACCCACTGCTACCTCACTGCCTCCCCACTGTGCCCCTCACTTTTGGTTCTGCGTCAGGCTGGCGTCGGGCTGGGGATAGTGTCCTCCCCAGGGTGAAGAGCCGGGGGGAGGCCGGGCGGGGGAGAGGCCGTCCACATTCCTGGTTTCTGCGGATTCTCTCCAGCTGCTCCTGAGCACTCATCCGGGGCCGGGCCAGGGGGACCTGGGGAGATGAGAAACATCTGGAGACTCCAACCTTGGCCTGTGTTTTCTCTCTTCCCCAAACCTTTCAGTCTCTTGTCTTGCCCTTTCCAGTAAGTTCACCGCTGAATCTTTCTACACCTGTCCCTCTGCCATGAAAACAGGGACTGGCAGGAGGGGATAGCTCAAGTGGTAGGGTACTGGGTTCAATCCCCTGTACCTCCTCTAAAAATAAATAAACCTAATTACCTCCACCCTAAAAATTAGTTTTAAAAAAAGGACTGGGCTGGGGACCTCGCCTTGTAGAGTCTGGCACTCAAGAAGGGTCTGAGATGTTCCTTGGCCTGAACTGAACAACCTTTCAGTTGATGGATGGCATTCTGGAGGCCAGTGCTCTGTGCTCCCCAGAGACCATGTGCAGTTGTACCAGTTACACACTGCCCAAGGACTGAGCCCTCCATTTGAGACAGGAAGGGGGCAGGGCACAGCCATTCAAGGAATGATACAGCAATTAACAGTGGAAGATTCAACCCCCAGTAGGCCCTGAGGCTCAAGATGGCAGGAGATTTGACTTCTAGTAGAACTTCAGCTTCATTATATGCTCATTGTAAAATATTAACATGGTGGATAACATGCCCACAGGCGCCATGACAGTCCCAAGGCTAGCCACAAAAGGTCAAAGAGTGGGAAATGGCCAAGTTCCTGGGAATCCCAGCCCCTTCCTCAGGCTAGTTAGATTGGTCCTTCCACTTATTAGCAATATGAAGCCACCAAGCCCATAAAAACTGGCAACAGGGTGCCTCGCAGCCGCTGCCCTCTTTCCCTCTTCGGAGATGGCCCACACTCTGTCTATGGAGGGTGTACCTACTTTTAAT